AGGGGTCCTCCGCGGAGCTCGACCGGGAGGAGGAGGAGGAGGTGGAGGAGGTGGAGGAGGATGGGGAGGAACAAGACCGGGTTGATGATGACGATGACGGTGACGATGACGACGGATGACGATGATGATGCTGCTGATGATGGTGATGATGATGATGCTGATGCTAACGATGATACTGATGCCGATGATGATGATGATGATGATGATGATGATGATGATGATGATGATGATGATGATGATGATGATGCTGGTGGTGGTGGTGGTGGTGCTGACGAGGATGATCAGGATGAGCATGAGGAGGATGGGCAGGACGAGGCTGATGAGGATAATCAAAAGGATCCTGATGCTGAGGATGATGCGGATGATGAGGATGACTATGAGGATGGATGGTGATAATGAGGATGAGGGCGAGGAGGATGATGACGATGTTCATGATTAGGATTATGACGATAAGGATGGAGATGCTGGCGACGATGCGTATCAGGATGATGCTAATGATGATGACGATGCTGATGCTGATGATACTGATGATGCTGGTGATGATGATGATGAAGCTAATGATGATGATGGTGATGGTGATGGCAGTGATGATGAGGATGATGATGCTGCTGCAGGTGATGATGATGCTGATACTCATGATGCGGATGACGACGACGATGCTGCTGATGATGATGACGATGATGATGCTCATGACGGTGCTGACGATGATGATGATGATGCTGCTGATGATGATGATGATGCTTATGATGTTCATGCTGATGCTGATGATGGTGATGCTGATGATGATGCAGATGATGCTGATCATGGTGATGATCGCGATGCTGCTGCTGCTGCTGATGATGATGTGACGTTGATGATGCTGATGCTGACGCTGATGATGAGGATGTACATTGTGATGATGACGATGCTGATGCTGATGCTGCTGATGATGATGATGATGATGCTGATGCTGATGCTGATGCTGATGCTGATGCTGATGAGGATGACGATAGAGAGAGAGAGAGAGAGAGAGAGAGAGGCGCCGTGCACATCATAGGTGCATTGGCGAAAGTGAAACGGCACTGCTGTGAAGCACGTAAGGGAAAATTATCAGATGATATAATGATACACTACCGCGTTAAAGCGCAGAGCTGAAGCTTTTGGCGACCGACCGCCAGGCATCCAGCCCTTCCTGCCACAGAACGCTCAAGGCCTGCGGTCCGCCAGACGCCTGGCATGCCATGTCGTACACACATCATTTCCACGAGTTTCTCGGTCTGCCGCGCCTCCGTGCGCCAAAGGGGCGCGCCAATGCGGTTGTGCCTGGCATAAAGACAGATCTTCGGATGGCGCTGTCGTCCGGCATAGTCGCGATCTTGCCCATCAGGAGGAGCTGCCGGTACGTCAAAGTGGAATTCAGAGGTGTACTGCCGCAGGTGTTCAAGGCAACATTTTTCGATATACGACTGATGTACGGGTGCGGTATACCCGCGAGCCTTCGTAGGCATCGGGCTTGAAAAGCGTTCAACTTCAAACGCTCGGCCTTGTTGAGCCACAAGGTGTGCATACAGAACATCAATTTCGCCACGACACACGCGTCGAAGATCTTCACCTTCCAGTCCAAACTTATGCTTGTATGCTTTTAGATCCTGCAGAGCACGTCGAAGCCTTTCCGCGCCATGCCGAGCCGGCGGTTGAGTTCGGTGCCGCTGTCGCCGCTAGAGCTGATCATGCCACCCAGGTAGATCATGTTGTCCTTCTGCTGGACGGGCTGGCCATCCGGGCGCAGGATGTGCGTCTGGCAACCGACTGTGAAGACCTCCAACCTACCCCAATTGAAGGCCAGACCGTAATTACCTCCCAGATGATGACGATGATCCCGATTCTGATTATGATGCTGATGATGATGCTGCTGACATTCTCGCTGATAATATGCTGGTGATGATGCTGCTGCTGATGAGGTTGATGTTGCTGATGATGCGATGATGATGCTGATGATGATGCCGATGATAATGCTGTTGTTGTTGCTGCTGTTGTTGTTGCTGTTGTTGTTGCTACTGCTGTTGTTGTTGTTGTTGTTGTTGTTGTAATTGTTGTTGATTATGATGATTATGAAGATGATGAGGATGCTGATGATGATGCTGCTGATTATGATGATGATGACGATAATGAGGGAATGATGAGGAGGATGATGATGAGGAGGGGGAGGAGGCGGAGGAGGAGTAGGAGGTGGAGGAGAAATGGGCTGATGATGCTGAGGATGAGGATAACTAAGGATGCATATGCTGATGCTGCTGATGATGCAGATGCTGATGATGATGATGATGATGATGATGATGATGATGATGATGATGATGATTGTGGTAGTGGTGGTGGTGATGAGGGTGGGGAGGATGAGGATGAGGATGAGGATGCTGATGCTAATGATGATGATCTCATGATGTTGATTCGATGCTGATGCTGATGCTGATGCTGACGATGATGATGATTCGATGCTGATGGCGATCCCTACGATTACGCTGATGATGATGCTGATGGCGATGACGAGGTATGGTTATTCTTATGAGAATGATTCGATGCCGATGCTGACGCTGATGATAATGATGACCATGATGCTGATGGCAATGATGATGATGATGATGATGGTGATGATGTTGATGATGATGACGATGAGGATGCCGACGATGGTGATGATGATGATGATGATGATGATGATGATGATGATGATGATGATCATGCCGATGATGATGAGGATGATGATGATGACTACGTCGACGATGATAATGATGATGCTGATGATAATGATGGTGAGGCTGAGATGATGGTGCTGTTGCTTATGACTATGATGCTGATGCGGATGCTGCTCACGATGATGATGCTGAGCATGATAACGTTAATTTTTTTTTTATCCTGAAGGTATGATTGCTATATTGGGTTTTAGTATTATAATGCGGATATTTTGTACTCTTGAGTATTCGTTTTTTATTTTTCTATCATGAAAATAATAGAAAAATTGTTTTTGTATTACCATGTTGTTGTCCATGATTATTAGTGGTGCGATACTTTCCAGTATTACTCTTTTTAGGAGTGTCATTTTTCGTACTATTTTTTATCACCGTTGTTACTGTTTTGTCTCATGGTGATGGTTCGGTGATGATGATGGCGATGATGATGCTGATGATGCTGCTGATGACGATGATGCTGATGGCGATGATGATGAGGATGCGGATGATGATGAGGAGCAGGAGGATGATGATGATGATGCTGCTGATGATGATGATTCTGATGCTGCTGATGCTGCTGCTGCTGATGATGATGACTCTGCTGGTGTTGATGATGATGATACTGCTGCTGATGATGATGCTGCTGCTGCTGATGCTGATGATGAGGAGGAAGATCACGATGAGAATGAGGATGTGGAGGGGCATGTGGAGGAGACTGAGTAGGAGGAGGAGGAGGATGAGGAGGATGATGATGAGGAGGAGGAGGAAGAAAAGGAGGATCATACATGGGCTGATGATGATGCTGATGATGATGATGATGATGATGATGATGATGATGCTGTTGATGCTGACGATGATGCTGATGTTTATGTTGATTTCGATGATGACGACGATGATGATGCTGATGCTGATGCAGATGCTTTATGCTGATGCTGATTCTGATGAGGCTGAGGATGCGGATGATGGTGATGCTGCTGATGATCATGCGGCCGATGATCATGAGAGGGAGGAGGAGAAGGAGAAGGGCGAGGATGGCGACGACGGCGAAGAGGAGGATAGGGAGGAGGTGGAGGACGAGGAGGAGGATGGCGATGCTGATGTTGATGCTGATGCTGCTGCTGATACGTACGATCATGATACAATCATGATGATAACGTTGACGTCGACGACGACGATGATGACGATGATGATGACGATGATGATGACGATGATGATACTGATGATGGTGATGATGATGCTGATAGTGATGTTGACGACGATGATGATGATGATCATGATGATGCAGATGATGATGATGATGATGATGATGATGATGTTGGTGATGATGCTGCTGACGGTGATGGTGATGCTGATGATGATGATGATGCTGATGCTGATGCTTATGCTGATGAGGATGATGATGATGATGATGATGATGATGATGATGACCATGCTGATTATGATGATGATGATGAGGAGGAGGAGGATGAGGATGAGGAGGAGGAGGAGGATGCTGATGCTGATGCTGATGATGATGATGATGATGATGATGATGATGATGATAATGATGATGATGATGACGATGCTGCTGATGATGATGATGATGATGATGATGATGATGATGATGATGATGATGATGATGATGATGATGATGATGATGATGATGATGATGATGATGATGCTGATGCTGATGCTGATGCTGATGATGATGATGATGATGATGATGATGATGATGATGATGATGATGATGATGATGATGATGATGATGATGATGATGATGATGATGATGATGGTGGGAGGAGCAGCAGTAGGAGCGATGCCGACCCTGGCCAGACGAGTACTCGGCGCTCCCCCCGTCTTCCTGGCCCCCTCGCCGGCGCTTCCCGACTGTCCGTGGCCGCTCCGGCTCGAGGCCGACGCGCTGAGCGCCGCCGCTCCCCAGAAAGAAACACCCGACAGTTAGATGCTCGTTTTGGTGGACCTTCCTGAGGCCCACCTTACGGATAGGGGGCCACGTGCGAACCCTACCCCTACCCCCCACGATTTCTATGGGGGAGGGTGGGGTTCGCACGTGGCCCCCTACTGAGGCCCACCTCACGGATCTGTTCGACTCTAGTTCGACCCCAGATCGACTCAAGTTCGGCCCAGCTTCGGCTCAGGTTCGACTCGAGTTCGGCTCGGGTTCGACGCAGGCTCGACTCGGAGTCGGCTCGAATCGACGGACGCTCGACGCAGTTTCGACGCACGAGCGGAGCGAGTGTCTCCGGGCAGGTCCCCAGAATGAGCATCCGACGACAGCCGGCCAGAGGGCCCGCAGTCATGCCCCGCCTCGGAGGTCTCCAGCTCTGCTTCCTGGCGCTGCTGGCGCTGGCCCCGGCGGCGGCGGGCGCGCACCTCGGGGAGGAGACCCGCCGTGCCTGGCCCAGGGCCGTCCGGGGCCCCGGCAGCGGTGCGCGGGCCCTTCCCAGACCCTCTCGCGTTGCGAAAGTCCGAGGCAGGAATGTAGTCATATCCACTGCCTGGAGGGTCAGTTCTCGGAGTCTCGGCAGGCGGTGGATATGGACGTATTCGGGCCCCCGGGGGCCGTAAAATGCCCAGATCCACCGCCCGCTGGAGCACCAGGACGTCTGTTCCCGGGCGGTGGATCCGGATAAATCCCCGCCTTGCAGAAAGGATGACGCCGGAAGGCTCTTGGCTGTTCGTCGGCTCCGGGGGGCCCTCGCCGGGCCCCATGGGCCCTCAGGAACGACTCGGGCCGGAGGACGGGCCCTGGGGAGCGGGTCCAGGTCCGGGGGTCGACGTTGGGAGGAAGTCATGGCGTCGGAGGTCGGGGCCCTGAGCTTCGGCCAGGAGGGCGTGCGCGCCACTGCCAGGGGGCCAGGCGCGGGAGCCGCGCAGCGGCGCGCCGCACCCTTTCGGGGTGTGGCAGTCCCTTGTCTGTGGCCCCGGGGCTCGCCAGCCCCGTCCCTGGTGGTCCCAGACATCCGACGTCTCGATTTTTTCGAGTCGTGGGCCCCCGACCTCCCGACCACTTCCCCGGGGCCGGTTTCTCATCCCGAGTCTTCTTTTGACGGTCCCGAGGCCCGGCGAGGGCCCCGAGAGGCCGAAAACGACGAGAAACCCTCGTCTCGATTTTTTCGAGACGCCCGATGTCTGGGGTAGTCTTGCGTCCCGGATCGATGCTTGGTTGTCCTGGGGCCTGCGAGCGACCCAGGGGGGGGCCTGAGGCGAAGGAGCATCGCACGAGAGCGCCGTGGAGCCCCGCGAGCGCCCCGAGGGCGCGCCACGGGGCCCGCCCGGGGAGGTGGCGGCCCTGGCCGGGCACGGGTGGGCGGTGCGCCGCGGCGCTCCCCTGAGCCGACGCCGCAGAAGATTTGGGAGCAGTGTGGAAGCCCAGGTCCCCAGACATCGGGCGTCTCGAAAAAATCGAGGCGAGGGTTTCTCGTCATTTTCGGCCTCTCGGGGCCCTCGCCGGGCCTCGGGACCGTCAAAAAACAACTCGGGATGAAAAACCGGCCCCAGGGAAGGTGTCGGGAGGTCGGGGGCCCACGTCTCGACAAAAAATCGAGACGTCGGATGTCGGGGTGAATCGAACTTTTCAAGCGCTATGCGAAGTTCAGTAGCGTCATCGTCCTCTGGCGGACTCGGGCCGAGCCCTGAAAAAGGCTGCGGAGCAGAGAGGAAGACTCTGGCGAGAAGACTCTCCCGCGACTCCGCGGCTGCATCAAGGCTGGCACACATAGAACTGTGCATCGGGCCCCCTTCGCTGTCGTCGTGGAAGCGTGGCAGAGTGAAGGTGCAGGTTTCCGGCCCGTAGGGGCCTCGCTGGGCCCTGGGCGCGCAAAAGAGCGGCACAGGATGGAAAGCTGGTCCTGGGGAGTGGGCCCAGACCTTTGGGGGCCCACGTCGTGACCTTGGGGGCCCCACAGGCCCACGAGGTCACGAGTTCTTCTCCTGCCTCTTCTCGGAGGCACTGTCCTCCTCCCCCTCCCTGGGGAGGCACTGTCCTCCTCCTCCTCCTCCTTCCCTTCCTCGTCCCCCTCTCCTCCTCCTCCCCCTCGTCTCCCTCTCCTCCTCCCCCTCCCTGGGGAGGCACTGTCCTCCTCCCCCTCCTTCCCTTCCCCTTCCCCCTCCTCCTCCTCCTCCTCCTCCTCCTCCTCGCCTCCCTCTTCCTGGGCCCCACGCTGTGGAAGAGGCCTCGCCCGTGCCTTTCTTCGCGGCGCGGGCCGGACCCGCCTCCCGTGGGGGCGGCCCTCCGCGCCCCGAGCCGCGGGGGGCGGAGCCGCCTCCCAACTCCTCCTCCGCTTTCTCCTCCTTCTCCTCCCCCTTCTCTTCCTCCCTCCATCCTCCTCCTCCAGCTCCTCCTCCTCCTCCTCCTCCTCCTCCTCCTCCTCCTCCTCCTCCTCCTCCTCCATCCTCCGCCTCTTCCTCCTCCTCCTCCTCCCTCCCGCTCTCGAGGCTGCCATTTGGGCCCACGCGCGCGGGGGCGCGCGGCGGGCGCATCCATCTGGCCCCAGCCTGCAGCCCGACGGCGGGTGCAGGCGCAGCGGTGGCGGCGGGCGCCCCCAGCAGACGGGCTCCGTCGCCAGCCTGGCATCGCCGCCTGCGCAGGCGCCGCGCCAGTGCGCGACAGACCCTGCGTGAGGCCGCGGCAAGGCGGCTCCTGCAGACACACCACGGCAGTGCGCCGCCCGAGGAGCCGCTGGTGCAGATGCATGGCGAAGTGTGGCCATGCAAAGCGTCAAAGGCCTGCGGGTTCCGCAACAACTACTCGAGCAGGACTACGTGCTGGGCGTGCGGCAGGGACAGGGACGGCAGGCCCTCGACCGCCCCCCAGCGAACGCCCAGTCGCAGCAGGAGGCCTCCTTCGCGCGGCGCCGAGGCGCCCTGGCGCGAGCGTGCTGATCCTGCTCCTGCTGCTCCTCAAGGTGCTGGCGACGCAGTGGCACAGCAGTCCCCAGCAGTCAAGTCCAAGCGTGCATGGCTGGCCTTACGACGGATCTATGGTGACGAGCACGACCTGGTCATCGTCGCCAAGGCCGCCCACGACAAGGAGGAGTCCGCCCTACGTGCCCAGATGGACCCCTCCGACCTGCTCAAGAGCGCCAAAGACAGGTGGGCTGCAAAGGAGTCGGAGCGCGCGGCCAAGGCCGCTCAGGTCGAGCAGTTGTCCAAGGAGCTCGCCGACGCTCAGCAGCAACTCACCAGACACGAGGCCGAAGCGGCCAGCCTCAGTGCGGAGGTCGCCCACGCACAGGCAGCAGTGGCGGCCATGGCAGCTGACGGGACCCCCGCGATGGCCAACGTCTCTGTGGCCATCCAGCAGCTTCAAGCGGTTCTGGTCTCAGCGCGTGCAGGCACGACGAACATGGACGGCGCCCAGCTCCTCAGCACCATCGAGCAGCAGGTCTCCAACATCGGCTCCCTCGCGACAGGAGCTTCGCCGCCGAGGGCAGCTGCCCCGCCGCCTCAGCAGTCTGCCGCTTTTCGCCCCCCAGTCCCAGCTCCACCAGCATGTCTCGGCACCCAGATGCCCGTCGAAGCTGCAGCATGGGAGAACGCGGGCGATGACAGCTAGGAGGGCCCCACGAGGCTCCAAGCGCAAAGATATTGCAGTGGCTACCTTCAACGGCTCTTGTTGGGATTCGTGCAAGGCCTTTTTGGTGGAAGGTACGACAGGGGTCAATATTGTATGCGCTCAGGTGTTGAGACTCGATGGGGGGCGCTTGGCGCAGGCGCAGTCTTGGGCTCGACGCAACGGCTGGCAGGCCTTCCTCACGTCCTGCCGCAGATTACCTACTGGCATGCCTAGTGCAGGTGCAGGGGTATTTGTGCGCTCTCACTTACCTGCCACCGTCGTCGAGGGACCTGATGGCAAAGCAACCCATGACATAACACCAGCCTGGGCAGTGGTCGTACACGTTGATGTGGGACTTACTGGAGGTTTGCTGGTGGGATCTGTATACATGGAATATGCGCACACGACTGCTTACCTCACAGCCAACTACTATCGATACTTAAACTTGGCTCAGTTTCTCAGATACATGAACAAGCCCTTCATCATCGCGGGGGACTGGAACATCAACCCCCAGGACTACCAGCAGATGGGCTTGCCTGAAGTACTTCCTGCCGCTCTTCTCTACACCAAGGAGGAGGGCACTTGTCGCACCCCGAAGGGCGACTACCACAACATCGACTACTTCATCACGTCTCCTGGCCTTGATGCGGTATGCAGATCGCCAATCACGATGGCGACGTGGCCAGCACGGCCTCACAAGCCAGTCATCACCTACATCAAGGCCAAGCCGAAGGTCATGCAGATCCTCAGCATCAGAGCCCCGAGGGCACTGCCCAAAGGGCCCCCTGCCACGGAGGGCTGCCATCCTCTACATGGGCCGATCCCCACGCCAGACTACCTGGACATTGTGGATAAGGATGCGCAGCGCGGCCCCCCAGCATCCAAAGAGGAGGCGATCGGCCGCATGGATGCCCTATACGGCCAGTTCATTTCGCATGTCGAGAACGAGCTCATCGGCATCTACCAGGTGGACGATCCAGATGCTTATCGAGGTCGCGCAGATGGGGCCCAATACACCTGGCGCCCGATCGGTGGTCCCAAGACTGGTCCACACCCTGCTGGAAGCAGCGAACCACGATTTCTTCGCGCGGTGGGCCAGGCGCTTCTCGACCTAGTCGCCGATTTCGTCGTTGACTTCGGGGTCACCACGCTGCAGCAGCTGGTGGATGCTCGCCCCTGCCCTACCACGACAGGGCAAACAACTGCAGATGGCGGTCTACATCGTGACCCTCAGCCTTCACATTCGCCCCCGATGACGGACGTGGCACATTTGGTCCCACAGGTGGATCTGGGCGCGTGGAAGCGCCTGGCCGTCCCTGGCGAGATGGGAAGACCGCCTCCCCCTGATGACAGGGAGCAGGGCGACTCCGAGGAGGAGTTCAGGGAGGCAATAGCAGCAGGTGCTACACGATGGATGCCTGACCTGTCGGACGCTGAATCGGGAAGTCGCTCATGGGGAGGATGGTGCGTCCCTTTCGTGATGGAGTGCTTGCGCCTACCTCAACATACTACGTGGGTAGCAGCCGCACTCGCGGAAGGCAGTTTCAACTCCATACGAGAGCTCGCCGGTGACATCTGCAATGACGCATGGGGCCGCTCCTCCGAGAACCGTGCTGACATCACCTCCTACTTGGATTGGCTGGCCATACACGACATACCACTTTGGCGACGCCTGATCAGCCAGCACTGGGACGAGCTCGAGGAGATCAGGAGCAAGATGAGAAGATTACTGGGCGACAGGAGGATGCCTGACCACCTGCGCTACTACGACGGCCAGCAGAGCGTCTACGAGGGGGAGTCTCTCTCTCATAAGTTTCAGGCCCTG